CGAGCTCATATACTTGGAATTTGTCTCTCACTTCCGTGCTTTTGAACGGTGGCACCAGAATCAAAGATCTGAACGACTTGAACTCCGCTACCAGGGAACTATGAGAGCCCTTTTTCAAGACCTCAAACCAGCAAAGACTGACACGGTGACTTTCTTCACCACTGAGATGCAATATGAAGTGCTGGACTCCGAAGATCAGCAAGTGCATCTTGACGCACCAGCCGACACAACCGAAAACTCACTTTGGTGGATAGATGATGAGGATGGCACTCGGGCCATCACCCCTTTTGATTTTGATGGCGTGGTATGCAAAGTCCCTATCACGCAAGTTGCGGTTGGCACTACGTTGACGCAGCGAATTTTCTGCACCGACCATCTGGACGTTTGCCAAAAACTTGTACAGCATTGGAAAGGTCGGTGGCAAGCCACTGTGGACACTTCGAGGGAACGTCTGCAACAGGTGTTTGCTTTTTGTTTAGCCTTTTTGCCGAAGCTCCAATTTGAACTTCAACCGCTCACTCTGCATGATTGGAAGCGGGCGATCCGGAAAATGAAGAAAACAGCGGCCACTGGGCCCGATGGTGTGTCTCGTCATGATTTTGTACACATGCCTCAGGTCTACTTGCAGTGGATCGTTGACCTCTTCAATTCCTTGGAACTTGGGACCATGAACTGGCCACATCAATTCTTGACTGGTCTGATCACATGTGTGGCCAAGGTTTGTAGCCCAACGCAGCCTGGAGACTTTCGGCCCATACATGTGTTTGCAGTTGCATATCGCCTATGGGGATCCATGCGGACCAAGCAGCTGCTTTCACAACTGGTCAAGTTCTTGCCTCCGGAGATTCACGGCTTCGTTCCTGGCCAAGAGACTTCTCAGATCTGGATGTTAATACAAGGTTGGGTTGAAGCAAGTATCACTTGTGGTTTTTCGTGGCATGGCATTTCAGCTGATGTCCGACGATGTTTCAACAATATTGAGCGAGAACCCACCTTTGCTGTCGGGATGCATGTTGGACTGCCTGAGCGAATTCTTTCCCCTTGGGCACAGTTTTTAGTGCATTTCGAGCGCAGATTCCAGATTCACAACGGGGTCTCTGAACCTGTGACCTCAAACCGGGGGTACCCGGAAGGGTGTCCATTGTCAATTGTAGCCATGATCTTGGTAAATTGGGGGCATCATGAATTCCTTCGATGTTACTTTCCGAAGGTTGAATTGAGATCCTTTGTCGACAACCTAGACCTGCACGGGCCAGACTGGCACGAGCTCCATCGTGCCTTTGTTCACACCAACGAATGTCTGGCATTATGGGGCCTTGAGTTGGATGATGACAAGACTTTCGGGTGGTCTACACATACCGGCGCGAGGCAGCTGATCAAGCAGGCTGGTTTCCGCTGTCTCCTGGACGCACGCGAGCTGGGAGGAAGCATGGCCTTTTGCAGGGCAGTTCGAAACAAACAGCTAAAAGACAGAGGGGACAATCTACATCCCAAGTGGCAACGACTCTCGAGGTCCCGTGCACCCTTGACTCAAAAGCTTAAGGCGCTCCCCATTGTTTTTTGGACTGCTGCCCTGCATGGTTCAGCTGCATGTGTCATTGCTGATGGCTATATCCAACAACTGAGAGTTTTGGCTATCCAGTCGCTCGGACTTCGTTGTGCTGGGGCCAATGCCATACTTCGACTCACTTTGTTGGATGACATGGACCAGGATCCTGGATATTACCACATCCGGTTGACCCTACATACTATGCGGCGAATGCTGCACAAATGCTCGGAGCTCATCAGGCTATGGAAGCTTTGCTGGCACAGGGCGACGGGACATGTTCAACCTGGTCCATTCACTAAGGTGAACTTGATCTTCAACCAACTTGGATGGTCTCTGCAGGAGCCTCCATTCTTTTTTGATCATCTTGGTTGTCCACATGACCTTGGCTGCATAGACAGGAGAACACTGGATCTCGTGCTTCAAGATGCTTGGCTGCAGTTCATTAGCACGCAGGTGCGACACAAAACTATGGGTGGATTGTGTGGTTTGAACCAGCACCTCACTAGCGTGGTGCACCGGAAACTGACTACGCAAGATACACTGCGCCTTTCTGCACTTCAGTGTGGCTCCTTTCTGACTGCTGCCCAGCAGAGCAAGTTTGACGGTTCCAAGTCACTTCACTGTGAAGTATGCCAACAGCAGGATACTCGCAAGCACTGGCTCCAATGTCCTCACTACCAGGACATCAGGGAAGAGCTGCATTTGGATGTTGCCTCTGTTTTGAGCCTTCCGGATTGCGCTGTGAACCATTTACTTTTTCCTCAGTTGACTGTTGCTAAAAGCTTTCGGGTTAGTCTTTCGGTGATTCATGATAGTACTTGCGACTTTTTATCCTGTTGTACGACTCCTGATACCCAACATATTTTTGTAGATGGTTCATGTCAAGCTCTGGATGATTCCGTCTCGCTTGCTGCATGGGGTGTGATAAATGCCACAACCGGGGACATAGTCTCCTCTGGGTTGGTCCCTGGGTGGCGACAGACTGCAGACAGAGCAGAAATCACCTCAGTCATCTCGGCACTGGAATGGGGCAATGCCACGAACAGTGGCATTTGTGTCTGGTCGGACTGCCTGCATGTGGCAATGTACCTGCAACAGCTGACACAGGAGACTGACTTCACCAGACTTGAGACCAACGCGGATCTCTGGTGTACTGTTGAGGCGTTGCTGCGGGAAAGAGTGCACTTGGAAACTACTGTGCGCTGGATTCCAAGCCATCTACAAGAACAAATGATGGAGGATCCATTTGAAAGCTGGGTGTGTCGTTGGAACTCGCTTGCTGACCAACTTGCTGTGTCACAGAACCAACACAGAGGTGATTTAGCCAGCAAACTGGCAAAGCAGCTCGTGGCTGAACATCAAGTGATAGGTGAGCTCGCGGTTCGACTGAGGGATTTTTACCTTAAAGTAGCGGACCGCAGGCAGCAGGCACCCCGGACTTCCGACCCACAGCTTAGGCCTGTCGTGGTTCCTTCGGTTGGTGTTGATTGTGGTTTTTCTGAGTTTCTTCCTTTGGGTTGGAAGTCCCAGATTCTTGACGCAAAGTTGTCAGAGGCCCACCTGCTTTTCCAGTGTAGCATGATTGAGCAGTTGCAGATTTGGGACCTTGAGGAGAACACCCCCCTTGATTGGTATACTGATGTTGAGTTGGCTGTTGCTTTGTTGGGTTTGAGTGGGCTTTGTTTTCCGGTTTCCATTGGGGACAGATTCGAATCCAGGTCCGTTGAAAGCCTTCCCTTCAGGATCCCGCTCAACCGGGTTGTTCGGCTTGTTGATGAGTGCTTGAGTCGTTTGGTTTCTCTGTTTGATTTGGGTGCCTTCCGTCGCCGGGGCATCCGTAAACCTGAGCTCAGAATCCTGATGGGAAGGACTGCGTTTGTCCTTCGGATGCCTCTTGACGTCCGTGACACAGCTCGGACGCGGATCCTGAAGGCTGCTGCTGCAAGACCTTTCCGGTCGAGCCAGGAGCTCGCTCGACCAGTGTGATGACCTGACCAGCCCGCCTGTGTCGCTGCTGCTCCGCTTCGCCGAGCACAGCGGCATTATCTGTCCATGATATAGCCCTGGTATATAACAAAGTTTATCATACATCGGTCCTTTTGGGAGTGGGGGATTCCACAGGCCTTACTCCAGGTCCTGTTTGTGCATGTCCACCCCACCAAGTAGGCGCCTTTGGCACCCGAGACGACCCACTCGTCCTCGCCATCCGCAAGGTCCAGCTCCTGGCCGTGACGCACCGTCCTTCGACCTCTGGGTGCGGGTTGGTGAGAGCCTCTCCACTGCCGGTTTGGACGTCGAAGTGCATGGGCAATACCCCTTAGGTGACTCCTGGAGACTCCTGGTCTGTTTTTATTTTTTTTTCAATGCTTCAGCGCCGAAAAAGAACCACCACAGCCACCGACCCGGTGCCTCGGCCATGCCTTCGAGCGCGGCGCCGATCGAGGCCAAGTCCACGCCAAAGAGCATCCCCGCAGCGATCGCCAAGCCGCAGAGCCGGAAGAACATGGCGCCAACCACCAAAAGAACCGCAGAATGTCCGGTGTTTGGAGTGTGGCGGGATGCGCCACCAAGAGACTGGATGCGCCCTGATGAAGGTGCCGGAGGCGGTGAGGGAGGTGGGGAAGGGGTGCGACTGATGCAGGTGTGTGGCTAAGTGCGGGGGTTGGAGCTTTTTCAGCATGGAATTGCTGTGGGAATTTCGCGCAAAAGGACGGATACCGGGTATCAGTGATCTCGGCCAATGACCCTAGCCTCTTGATGTCTTGTCTTCATGCATTCAGGTGAACGTGATGGGTCAATGAAAGAAAAGCCTCCCAAAGGGGCATGGGTCCCTGGGTCCAGCATGGTCACAGCCCAATGGCTTCTGAGACGACGTGAGCATGGATGCCACGTGAGGCCGGGGGTCTCCACCGGCCGACCGAGCGGTCCCTGCAGCAACTCCACCACGGGTCCCAGAAACTGAAGGCTCCACATCGACCTTCTCTCCGACCATCCATGTTCCTGGGTGGCCTACTGGGTCGCCTTCTCACCGACTCATGATGAACAATCACGTTTTTGCTCCAGCGTTTGCTCCAAAATGGTCGAAGTAAAAGGACCTGGTGGGGCCCCTGTTGAACGGAACAAAAAGAGCCCGAATCTCTATATATATATATATATATATGGGTCGTGAGGACCACGATTATGATTAATTATCCAGGTGTGCTGACCAGCGGATCAAAGGCTCTTGCTATCAGCCGAAAACACGAGGGTGCACTTTTGGCGCGGGGGTCCACTTTTGGCACGGATGTAGATCAAACACACACCAAAAAGACTAACAATTATATGTTGCACAAAACTTTAAGTTTTTTGACCCCTTTCCCAGTCTTCACCCGTGTGGCCTGTTTTCGGACCCATCCGCACACATCCCGCACACATCCCGCACACATCCCGCACCCCTCGGTGGATAGCGCACCGATGGAGGTCCAAGGTCTGCCCATCCACCGCCGGAAACCTCACGGCCGGTCCAAGCTCCGAACACATGGCCATGAGTCAGGCCCGGCCACACCCAAAATCCCCCGAAAGCACCCGAAAGAAGATCAGAAACTCAGGTACTTGAGTCCTCAACCATGTTTCACCCCCACATATGCCGGACGCCGACCCGTTGTGTCCACCCGTTCTGACCCCAGATATCAAGCTCGGCCTTGAGATCAACGACCCAAGGCCCAAGGCCTCGCACGGTGCTTCAAGGTTCGACGGCCAAAGGATGGACCATGTCTTGCAGGACTCGCCTAGAGAGGTTGAGCAACTTGCGAGAAAAAAAATGCTCCCAGTTCGCCCCTTTAACAATCTTTGTTTGACTAAGACTTTTACTTTACCCTACAAACCAGGTCAACCTTTCTCTCAATGGTCTTATCTTGGAAGGCTAGGGTCTACACTCCAAGTCGATCCCAAACAAGCCCAGTCAGCCAGGCTGATCCCGCTGACCACCCCGGCCGCTGCACCGCGTGTGTTTGACTCGAGAAGTCCTCGTCGTAATGCCGAGGTATGGGCCAGCCCGGCGAAACAATCCAAGAACGGAAGAATCCAAGAAGGAAGAATCAACGGCGGCAACTCCGCAACTTTTGCCACACTCATCCACCACGGGTGATCCTCGTTTTTGGACCCAGCCTGGGGCCCTGCATGTATTGTTGAGACACCCACCACTCGGCACAGAAAGTCTATGTCCCCACACCTCGGCTTGCTCCTCAAAGCGTCTTCGCCGCAAATCACGCCGCGCCTCGCGAGTGCCACGTTTTTCTGGGCCCTCCGAATCGTCAAGTCTTTGAGCCGAGGGAGCAGGCGGCAATCTCTCAGCACACAGTTTCAGCAGCTCTAGGTTCTCCTGAAACTAAACTCCTTGCTGCTAGCCTTTGCCCCCTTTTCATTCCTCTTTCGCCAGTCAGTCATAGGCACCAGATTGATGTAGAAGATCCGTCGCAGACCCATCGCCTCTGCGACCTGGTCCGACGGGCGGTTGGAGACCTCGTTCTGCCCAGCCCTCAAAAGAACTCTCGTTTCAGCCCCGATTCTGGAGGCCCATCCGGAAAATACCCAAGGGCCTGAGACAGCCAAGTGTTCCAGACCAGTGCTCCTGTGGAACGAGAAAAAACATCCTCTTAAGCTGGCCAATTCTGGAAGCCTGGTCTCAAACTTAAGCGCTGAGGCAACCAGCTGCAGCCCATCAGAAAGAAATGTAAGAAAAAAAACGAACGAAAACGGGGAAGGTAGGCCAACACGTAAGGTCGACACCGTAACCTGAAAGCCGTGCGCACCCCAGGCCCAGCGCGCTTCACAAACAAGAGGACGCCAGATCCGCCCTCAAGCTCCCCCACCGAAGGCGAGGGGGTTGGTGCTAAGAGAGAACTGGTATGCTTAGACACTCGTGATGCCCAGCCGAGGCCCACTCCTCTGGCCCTTGCCACAACCCTTGCCTCGACCCTTGTTTTCACGGGCCCCGCCCTTGGCCCCCCTTAGCCGGTGCTGAACCCATCCCCAGCAGCTTCGGATGTTCACCTTTCCAAGCCAAAATGCTGGGTGCTTGTGCCACGTCCCCTGCTCAAGTGGCTGTGGTGAGATCATTCTTTAGCACACCACTTTACATGTTTTTCCACCCTGCCAGTCGAAATGTGAAAGTGAACTGGTTCTGTTTGCGTTGGCGCCGACCCGAACGAGTTCCGTCCTGCCCACTCCCCATGCTGGCGAGCAGGCAGGCCACGCACAAAACAGAAGAGCCAGGGATCCGGGTGAATAAGAGCTAGGGGATCTGGTGAGCTTGGTCCTTTTGCCAATGGTACCCTATTCTCCAGCCACAGCCACCTTTGTCGAAGGCCTTGAACCGTCATCCTTGGTTGGACATCCTCACGGCCCAAAAGGGCCCTTTGGGCGCTCGGAGAACCACCCGTTTGAGTCCGGAAACTGATGATGTACTGCGAATTAAATGGTGTATATAGAGTATAGAGTCTTTCCACATCCATGACTATGTTGCCTCGAAACATACGTTCCAAAACATGCTTCTCCCACCCTGTGCGAACGGGCAGACTCCACCGTAGCCCGCCTCCCGGGAAGTCTGCATGCACCTGGACGAGGGTGGTCCTGTAACTCACCTTCGGCCTCTAAAGCCGTCGCTGGCGCCTTTCATCGGTGGGGGTCTGGGGGGAAGCTCTACATGGAATTCCAGCTGTTGGGAAGAGTTACCTTTGGTGACCGCAGCAGCTTGGAGCAACACGCCCTGTGTTTGCGGGGGCACCCTCCTGGTAGTTGAAAGGGAGGGTCTGGTTGGTGGCAAACAAGGGTCCAAAGTATCGATTGAGGGGATTCGCTTCTCTGTCTATTGAGGGGGGGCATAGTATGGCAAAAGTATGATAATATGTATCTCTTGGCGTGTCTTGGAATGGCAAATTCTTCCGCCGATGGGTGTTCCTGCGATTTTCACCCGTGGACTCCAAGGAGGGCTTCTCAAGAGAGCACCGGCCTCTGCTGGAGGCCCATGAGGCCCAGCAGCCAGCCCTGGCCAGGCGTGTTTCAGTGCAACACGCACCCGTCGCTGTTGACCCAAATCCAGCCAAGCTTGGACTGCTTGGGTCTTGATCCATCCAGCTGTTCTCCAATAAAGACCAATTTCGCGGCTAACGAGTCTTGCTTAGGAAAGAGGAGTGAAGAATATAAAGGTCAACTCCACTTGCGATGTGCAGGATTATGGAAGGAGGGCCATGACACGTGGCTGCAAGTTGTTGCATCACCGCAATCTTGAGATTGGTTTGTCAGGCCTCGGGTTTGAATACTAAAAGGGCCCAACACCCCCGGGGTAAACCTCGGGTCTGTGGTGCCTTCGGCCGTATTTCAGATGTGAGAAATGATGGGCTGGGACGCAGCAAGCTGCTAACAGCTAATCAAAGCAAAGTCCCAGAAAGTCTGGGCCCTATGTGTGAACTCGAAAAATGATGCAAAAAAGGTCATGCACCTAGGGTGGAGCACACACTCTGTGGACCCTGTGGACCAAACAATTTAACACTAGGACCTTCAGTTCGTGACCTCTTTGGAGTCTCTAAGTAGCCTCTTGAGGGACTAGGTGACTTCATTCTGGGATCTCAAAAGGTCACTGTGAAGGTCCTGGTATATATCTATATCCTTTCCTTCACACACCAGAAATAGAGGACCTCCTTGCTATTGAACTTGTTTGCTTGGGTGGAGCTGCTGCTAAGGTCGTGACCACCGCTTTGTTGGCTTTTGGTCTCAAACCACGACGACTCCACCGACTTCATATGTATATATATATATATATGATAGACTTACGTGTTCATGCACTTTGTTTCATTCATGTTCAACACCACATAATAGGAGACCCGAAATCAAGCATCCACACCTTAGACCATGGACTGCTCATGGGTCCGACCACACGCCCACCACGATCCCCCCGACCTCTCCTCTCCCGAGGTGTGTTTCGGCCGTTGGTTCGTCCACGAGAGAAAACAACATCCACTCCCTGAAATCACCATGGAAGTGGAAAAAGCAAAGTGGTCATCCGAAATCGCCCTGCCATCCACTTAACCATAAGTTTTTTCAGAGAGTGTAGGACCTTTTAAGAGACCCGCAAAACATCTTCGGGTTGTCCCAGGAGTGGAAAACGCAGCTCCCACGCAGGTCCCACGGCCGCGGCGCGGTCCCACGCCGGTCCCGCGGTCCCACGCCGCGCCAGGAACAGACATCTCCAGGTCCTGGCGATCCGTGGTCTTCGGGCGTTCGCGCGAGCTCGGGACCCGCACGGCTGGGGAGCTCGGGTGAACCCCCCATTTTCTTTCGGCGTCGAAGACGCACAGACATCCAATGTCCAAGAATACAACAGGAAGAAGGGGGGTCTTATTACAGTACAACAATACCTCAAAGTTTCACACCTCGCTTGGGTGAATTCTGAAACCGATTCTGCTACCTGATCCAAAGCTACTAATTTTCGCTTCTCAATTTGGGCAACCCAAGTGCAGCACCAAGAAACTACACGATACTTGGGGATGCACTTGCTTTCAGTGACATGAGCTTTGTCACATGATCTGAGCTGTTTTATGGGCTTATTGGGACCCTCGCAGCCAAATCAGTAAGCAGGTTGAGGGACCTGTTTAGCACTGCTGATGGTGTGGACTGTGTTGATCGTTGGTGCTCGGCAGATCCGACGTGGGCCCTACCAATGGTGGATGATGGGTGAGATATTTTTGGGTGGTGGATGATCCAATAAGTTAAGATGTGATCCACCGCAGTGGATGATCCAATGAGCTTTTCCTTCCTTTTCCATTTCTTCATGTTTTTTCAGCTCAAGGTGTATGCCATCCATTTGGGGATTCGACCAGACGAGACAGACTCCCAGTTTCCCAGATTCTTCCCACAATGCTGAGGGTAAGATGTTTTCAGAGTCGGGCGGTTCATCTTTTACATGATTTTTCTCACCGACACCAATCCTAAAACCCCCGCACCCCACACAAGTAAGAGCCGCAAAAGCCCTACTCTTTCTTCCTGTGTTGCAGAGTTGAACTTCTTGGTAACTTGTCAAACTTGTCTCTTATTTGCGTCGATCAGATTTCGTTGTCCGGAGTTTCTCTGCAAATCATCTCCCGTGGCGGCCGAACGTGCACGACGGCCTGCCGCCAAACGCCATCCATGGCAATGGCGGTGATCGCTTCTCTTGCTGATCGTACTTGTCAACAACTTGTTTTCAACTGCCGTGAAAAAAGAAGTTGCTGGGGGGGCTCGTTGGCCTGTGGGATGGAAGCAAAACAAGTCCAGAAACCTTGCTCGTTGGCTGTTCCCTCGCTTCAGCTGCGATGTTAGGAGACTCAGGTGACAAACAGAAAGAGGCTGTGGCCCACAGTGCTTTCAGGCAGAGGAGAAGGTAGGGATACGGTCATTCTCATGTGGAGTTGACCGAGGTCGTTCTTGGCACGATCTGAAATCTGAAAATCTGTCGAATGTGCGTTTTCGCTTCACCAACTGTCCAAAATAGCTTGGCCTGAACCTCGAGCAGCCAACACAGAACAAAGAGACCCGCAGCCCCGACAACATGAGCCCGTTCCGTGCCCGGAGCCGTCACATCGAACTAATCCCTGGAGGTGAACCGAGCTTCACAGTTGCTTAGGGGGTAGCGACCGTTCGTTCACCGAGCTTCACCCGCAGGATGCGACCGGACTTGCATCTCTGGCCCCTTCGAGAGGTTCAACGAGTGCACGGCCCTCTCGGCCCCCCGAGGGAGCGACCGTTCGAGAGTCCGCATGCGAGCGGTTGAGGTGACCTTTTTCGCCTCATGCCGGTCGGAAGCGACCGTTCCGCAAGCAGTGGTTCCTCATGCCGGACGCAAGCACAGATCTGTTTGTCACCGAAATGACCCACTTGACAAGTACTTTCTATTTCTGTTGTTCTTTGCGTGAGGCTGTGAACCGGCTAGTTTAACCACTCTTCACATCTTTCACTGTCTTTCCTGCCAAACCCACCTCCATCTTCCCACATAGTGACATATGTGTGTTTGGATTCAATCACTTCCCCTTCTCCAAGATATACATGAGCTGTATCACAGAATCCACAGAAAAGGGTTGTTTCTTACAACACAGCTCAACACAAGAGACATCTCCGACCCCCGTTGTTTTGCCCTTCTGAAGCTGAGCGGACTTTGTGGAAACAACCAAACTCCACCCGGAAGAGGAACAGCCAAGCACCAGCCACTCACTCATTGTTGGAGAAACATCCCATGAAGTCACCATGAGCACCACAGAAGACATTCAGGAAAAATCCTCTTCCAATTTCAGACATGAAAAGCTTGGTGTCTTGAGTAGTCCTCACTAGGCGGACCCGCAACATCCTGATGATGAGTCTCCCTCCATCCAGTTCACCCACTGGTCTGTTGTGCCTAGTGGCCTAGCCTCACTTTGAGGCAATAGCTTCAAGGGGGTCACCAGTACAGTGGTACACCCCCACAGACCCCACACCCCTCTTAGGCCAAAGCACTCAGGTACCAGTACCTCCACCTTCCCCTTCTTCCACAAGGCCATGGCCACCAGGCGCTGCAGTTCCACCGGCAGCCGCTCGGAGACCAACGCCGCAAAGCGGTTCACGGACACGACTCCGCCCGAGCCTCCGTGCAACCAGGAGTTGGGCCCTGCGCGCTGGGAGCAGATGGTGGCCAAGCCGTGGCAGAGCCGCTTCTTCCCGCTCTCCGACAAGCCGCCCTCGGAGAAGGAGCACCTCAGCGCCCGAAAGGAACCGCCCCCGGGCGGTTCCGCCCACGGCGGCGGCGAAAAGGAGACCAGAAAAACCAGGGGGGTTGGGCGCAGAAGGACGTGGTGCGACATGGTCCCTTCTTGACGTTTCCCCAGAAAAAGTGCTTTTTGCAAAAATGATTGCAGTTCTGCTCGCCTCTGTGGTTGATCGCCCCGTCCAGCAGTCTTTGATTGCTGCGAGCCAAGTCAAACATGATATTGGCTTACAATTCAGCCACTCTTGGATGCCATTGTGAAAAATGTACGAGCAAGTCTTGACACAAAGTATCCATAAAGAATTCTTTCAACTGACTCGGGAGCACCCAATTGTACACCAGTTCGCGGTGCTGCGAGCTGCAGCGACCGAAGGAAAAACATACTGCTTGACCCAATTCGAGTCAAGCCGGATTTCAGAACATACTGCGAGCACACATCAAACACCTGGCAATAAACAGCAAGACCACTGGGCCAGGATGGCTGCAAGGTTTTAAGCTCTAAGACTGGAAGCAAAGGAAAGAAGACTAATCTTCAAGGTTTGGTGGAACCAAGAAGCGGTGTCAAGGCGCGAACACAATGCACCAGACTGAGATGTATCAAAAAGGTTCCAACTGCAAGTCGCCGTTGGTTTGAGCAAGCAATAGTTCTTGAAACAGCTAAAAATGTTGCAAGTCCTGGAGTCCTGCAACACTCCAAAGGCATATCTGACACTGTTGATGTTCTGCCCTGCGTTTGAACCGGACGGGGGTGTCAGGGTGTTGAAACTTTGCCCATGGTCGGATGGCTCCAAAAAGGTTGGTTCAACCATGTGACCGGTGTCTTACGTAAATAGAAGCGATGGCCTCCAACCTAACAAAGCGATTCCTTCGACCCATGACCACCTCGGTCTTTCCTGTGGCGAGTCGGTGCCCAGCGTCGGCCTCTGGAACGCCGGCACCAAAAATCGTTCTGTTGGGGCATGAAGACCCTCATTCACGCAAAGGGAACTTCGCTGTTGCCGAAAGCACTCGAGAGTTCTTTTGGAACTGATCTGCCCCCCAACTGCCGTGTGGCCGCCCCAAAACACCTCTAGGACCTATCTCCCCAACAAAAAACCATCCTCCCAATCGGGCAAGGCGCAAAGCCGCTTCGCGCATGTCCAACAGCCCCTCCATGACGTGGAGGAAGTCCCCGGCTTCGAACTCCGCGATGACCTGAGTCACTGCGGCGAGGTTGGGTCGGTCCAAGGGACCGTCGGCAGGTGCAGCCCCTCCACTGACAGGACGCATGTCGTTGGTTGATCATTGATTGGGGTGGAACTAACCAAATCCATTCAACGTGGACGGTTCGGTCTAACGGGCCTAACATCAGGACCCCCGACCCACTTGACTCTGGCGGTCATGTACGACCTGCTGGTTCGTCCTTCCACCTGTGACTCGACCGCTATGGTTTTGAACTGTGAAACGTGAAAGCAAGTCCCCCTAGAGGTCACGGCGAAGAAACCAAGTTGCACTCGAGTTTCCAACATGCCATTCCCTTGCAAGTCGTCAAGTTCAAACTTCACACACACACACACACACACACGCATCAAGCCGGCGTGCAAACCACTGTGGTGCACAACCTGCTTTGAACAACTAAAGCAACACGAACTAACGGTTGCTCCAAAGGATTCCCAAACCACCTTCTCTTCACCGAGCCACTTCATCCACCCACTCTACGGCCTCATCCTCCACACCTGGCTCTGCTGGCACTGGCCTCTTGCGGAAAGGCAAAGGCACATCCCGCGGAGGTATTGCCGGTGAACGCATTCGCGGTAAGTCTTCCTCAGAGCAAGCGGTGGTCCACATGTTGTTACTGGACCCGATCGTGTCATGAAGAATGAAATGTTGTTATTGGTCTGCACTTACAAACAAGAGACAGCCTGATGGCCACGGGTGGCTGAAGCCACAAACCCTGCCTCTGAAGGCTGCTGATGCTGATGTTGATGTTGATGCTGGTGACTTTGATAGGGCTGCTAGTTCAAGCAAGCTCCGCTACCATGTTCTCTATGCAAGCAGGAGATCCCGAATTACAATCTTCATGACAACAGCACCTGGGCCACTCTTCACCACAAGTGCGCTGCCCACGTCACTTGTCCACAAGCTGGGGCAAGCAGGAACGCGCATGTGTTCAAAACAAACGATGCATTCAACTGAGCCCTCACCAAAACGGTTCAACAAAGGACCACTTAAGACACCGCGCCAACCCCACAAGCAGAACCGAAGATGAACGAACTACTTCACATGAGGTCGAGAGGATGCATTCGATTGCCACACAAGACCAATATCTAACCTTCGTCTCGGCAGGACAGACGGACAACTACCCCTGTTTCTCATCCACTTTTTCTTCCTCTTCTCCTGCTTCTGCTTCTGCTTCTCCTTCTCCTCCTCTTCTCCTCCTCCTTCTCCTCCTCCTACTCCTCCTCCTGCTCCTCCTCCTCCTCCTGCTCCTGTTCCTGCTCCTGTTCCTGCTCCTTCTCCTTCTGCTTCTTCTCCTCCTCCTTCTCCTCCTCCTTCTCCTTCTCCTTCTCCTTCTCCTTCTCCTTCTCCTTCTCCT